TTTTCAGTGCCAGAATGTTTTGTGTTTTATGCTTTGCAATTAGCCACTGTATTTTACATACATCTGACTTCTGACTAGGTTGACTCACATTGGTCTTTCTTAAGCTGTGCCTTAAGTCTTGGACTTCAATTCCCATAATGCCTACCAACATGATCATTACCTGTGCTGCTTTGGGATTATGGGAGTTGAAAAGCAAAAAAATTCCAGGGGACTCCAAATCGAGCAGAATGTGTCCAAACAAAATGTTAGCAATTCATTGTGGTCTCCTCCCATTCTTTATTTTTCAATTTACAATTCGCTATGTGTCTGTGAGTGAGTGTGTGTGTGTGTGCGTGCATGTAAACACACTCACGCTTCTGTTAATACAAGATAACCCTTGGTGTATCTGCTGAAACAGACTGGCATCTGTATAGTGACTGGAATTATTGGTTTTCATCATGCTACAAAACGTATTGTTCGTCTTATATTTCTTTGAAAATGGAGTGTCCTATCTTTGGCTGTTGCAAGAGTGGATGGGTGAGTTAAGAGTTGCACATGCTTCCTTTTACGAGCGGCTGTCTCAGTTTGAAAATGTTGATTCTGTCAGTGGTTGGGGTGTAGCCACAAAAAATGTTGAAATGCACAGTATGGAGCAGCGTGGAAATCTACATTCTGAAATAACTGCTTGACGATAGACTCAGCCGGTGAGGTTTGACTATCCTACTTATCCTGCCAATATTGTAAAATGTTACCTTTTAAAAAAATAATGGAGAAATCGGGCAGGATGGAGAACAGAAAAGAAAACACTTGCAGCTTGTAATCAAGCCGTGTTCTTAAACATACAGTATATAATGTGGGCATTGTACTTTTCAGCATGGAACAAGGAAGGCGTCTTCTAAAGAAGTAGATTTCTGAAGGAATGTCTCTTTTGTGACCAGTACATACATTGTCCCAAAGGAGCTTTTTTCAAGAGACAACTGGACTTTTGTTTCTTCTTTGAAGACATTTCACTTCTCATCCAAGAAGCTTCTTCAGGGAATGGAAGGATCTAAAAAAGAAAGCAAACAGAATAGAATTCTTTATTGGCCAAGTGTGATTGGAGACACAAAGGAATTTGTCTTTGGTGCATATGCTCTCAGTATACATAAAAGGACAAAATACATTCGTCAAGAATCATATGGCACAACACTTAACGATAGTCAAATAAGCAATCAGGAAACAATCAATATCAATATCAATCATAAAGATACAAGCAACAATGGTACAGTCATGCAGTCATAAGCGGGATGACCAGCTGTCTGCAAGGAATATAAATCCTTCCATTCCCCATCATCCAGTCAGAGCTGAAGAAGCTTCTTGGATGAGAAGCGAAACGTCTCCCCCAAAAAATCAGAAAGTCCAGTTGCTTCTTGAAAAAAAGCACCTTTGGGACAACTATGACCTGGATGACTGAGAATCTCCATAGACAGTAAATAATTAAAACTTTATTTTTCATTCAGAACCACTGTTCTCTTGACACACTTAATATTTCATGCAGGAATCTTGGAATCTTCATGGAATGTTGAATAACTATTAACTCACTGAATGATTATAAGATGTTTCAACAGGGGAAAACACATATGGTTTATAAAGAAATATTATTGATGTTTCAATGCATTCAGGAAGATATGACAAGGAATCATAGAGAGATGGTGGAATTGATGCAAGATAAAGGTGTGAGACTAGGAAAACCCCAGCAAACAAAAATAAAAGATGAACAAAAAATTCAGAACATAGAGAAGAAACCAGAAGGAACTGAGGAAAGAATAGAGCAAATAAATCCAAAAATGATAACAAGTGGACAAAGATATGGTAGAGATAGTAATAATTCTTAAAAAGGAACTGACAAATTATCTTCTAAGAGTTAAAAATATAGAAGAAAATAAAAAGAAAAGTCTCTTTAAAATGTTGAAAGAACTATGGATGGGTTCTCTAGAGATCCAACAACAATAGAGAGATGTTGTGGCAGATGAAACACTTAGATTAAATAAATGCGAGGTAAGGAGTTACAAGATCCCAAGGGAGAAGCATGAAAGATTTATGAAAAAGTGTATTAGAGTTGAAATTCTAAAAATGGCAAGAGATAATGGATAGAGATAGAATACTTCTTATTATGGTAGCTATTTTATTTAAGAGTTAGAAAAAAGATAGAAGTCAGAACATGAGAAAATGGTATTATGTATACTGATAAATAATAGAATATATTATAATTACTATGTATACACAAATGTTAGAAATTGAAAGATTATGATTATGTATATTTAAATAACATTACTATTATTATTATTACTGTGTTTAAAATATATTGACCCAGAGAATACTCTGTTTGTTAAAGAAAAAAAAACATACCATAAATAAAACTATATTAAAAAAAAAACATTTCATGCAGAAATCAAAACTAGACTGAGTAAACCACCAAGGGAACATTTTGTTCAGATTCCAATGCAGAGTATTTCAAATGTGGCAACTTTAAGCTATGTGGATTTCAACTCCCAGAATTCCTAAGCAAGCACTGGCTCGGAAATTCTGGGAGATGAAGTCCACACGTCTTAAATTACCAAGGTTGAAAAATATTGCTCTGAGTGAGGCCAATATTGGATTTTTTGGTTTTTTGCACTGTGCAGAAAAGAGGAAGTTTTCAGATCTAACACATTCTGAACAATTTGTGGTTTCTTTTCTCTGCCTTTTTACAGCAAGGAAACTGGTAGTAGGCGTTGTTTTTTTTTCCTTTTCTATTTTTTTTTATTATTATTTTTTTAAAGAAGCAATACTTCTGCAAGTTTTTCAGAACTAAGATGGGCAAGGAAAAATTGCAGTTCCTGTGTCAGAGATGGAGATATTTTCTTTTAATTGAATAGCTTTGTGGAATATTCTTCTTAGCAGTGTTTTCAAAACCGCTGTGTGTTGCCTCCTTTGCAAAAGTTGGGTGGGGGTGGGGGGGGTTGCCNCTAACCACTGCGCCACTTCGGCTCTATATGGTATACCAGTATGGTATGGTATGCTTGAAAAGGGGTTAGACTAGAAGACCTCCAAGGTCCCTTCCAACTATATTCCGTATTCTGACAGTTGTGACTCCATCTTCATGTTTTTAACTCTACCAGTGATGGCTTTTTGGTCCTCGCGTGCCTAAATCGTGCACACAAGTGCAACACCCACGCCCACAATGCAATGTGTCCTGCCCCCTGCACATGCACACATGAACCCGTGCAAATGGATGCAACTCCCACCCACCCCCGTGTATGTGCGCACCCCCCCACACACACACCTCCCACATGCGTGCGCACACCCATGCCCCATTTTGGGCCTAGCAGACCTCCCTGAAGCTTTCTAAAACCACACCCCCGCGTCCCCCCCTGCCTCCGCGCATGTGCATGTGACCTTCCCCCGCTCCCTCCCCATGCATGCATGCACGTCTCCCACATGCATGGCATAGACCCGAAAACCAGCCGGCCGGTGGGAAGCGTATGCGTGATGGAGCTGAGCTGGGCAACGTCTTGTGTGCCCGCAGAGAACATGTGCCAGGTTCACCATCACAGCTCTATACCCTCTGTGAATGCCAGGTGGGCAGTGCATGTTAACCAAAGCCATTGGCTAAACCCTGGGATTTCACTTTGTCAATATTACCAGTTAGTGAGAAATTCTCTTCCAATCTGTGGCTGGCAAACGGCAGGGGTGGGTTCCTGCCAGTTCTAACTTCTTCTATAGAAGAGGTTCCACAAATCTATAGTGCCATTTAGAACTAGTTCCAGCTCCCTCCCCCCGCCCATCCACCCATCATCAAGATGAAGAGCGAGAGGAGGAATTCTGGGAGTTGAAGTCCACAAGTCTTAAAGCTGTCAAGTTTGAACACCCCTGGGTTGTTTTTTAAAGGCTTAGGGGTGCAAGGGTCTTGTAACTTGACAGCTTTAAGACTTGCGTGCTTCAAATGCCAGAGTTTCTGAGCCAACATTTTGGTTGCTANTCTAAGAGTTAAAAATATAGAAGAAAATAAAAAGAAAAGTCTCTTTAAAATGTTGAAAGAACTATGGATGGGTTCTCTAGAGATCCAACAACAATAGAGAGATGTTGTGGCAGATGAAACACTTAGATTAAATAAATGCGAGGTAAGGAGTTACAAGATCCCAAGGGAGAAGCATGAAAGATTTATGAAAAAGTGTATTAGAGTTGAAATTCTAAAAATGGCAAGAGATAATGGATAGAGATAGAATACTTCTTATTATGGTAGCTATTTTATTTAAGAGTTAGAAAAAAGATAGAAGTCAGAACATGAGAAAATGGTATTATGTATACTGATAAATAATAGAATATATTATAATTACTATGTATACACAAATGTTAGAAATTGAAAGATTATGATTATGTATATTTAAATAACATTACTATTATTATTATTACTGTGTTTAAAATATATTGACCCAGAGAATACTCTGTTTGTTAAAGAAAAAAAAACATACCATAAATAAAACTATATTAAAAAAAAAACATTTCATGCAGAAATCAAAACTAGACTGAGTAAACCACCAAGGGAACATTTTGTTCAGATTCCAATGCAGAGTATTTCAAATGTGGCAACTTTAAGCTATGTGGATTTCAACTCCCAGAATTCCTAAGCAAGCACTGGCTCGGAAATTCTGGGAGATGAAGTCCACACGTCTTAAATTACCAAGGTTGAAAAATATTGCTCTGAGTGAGGCCAATATTGGATTTTTTGGTTTTTTGCACTGTGCAGAAAAGAGGAAGTTTTCAGATCTAACACATTCTGAACAATTTGTGGTTTCTTTTCTCTGCCTTTTTACAGCAAGGAAACTGGTAGTAGGCGTTGTTTTTTTTTCCTTTTCTATTTTTTTTTATTATTATTTTTTTAAAGAAGCAATACTTCTGCAAGTTTTTCAGAACTAAGATGGGCAAGGAAAAATTGCAGTTCCTGTGTCAGAGATGGAGATATTTTCTTTTAATTGAATAGCTTTGTGGAATATTCTTCTTAGCAGTGTTTTCAAAACCGCTGTGTGTTGCCTCCTTTGCAAAAGTTGGGTGGGGGTGGGGGGGGTTGCCAATTCAGCCCCTCCTGATGCTATGCAATCGGAGGAATGCTTGGCAAGCGGATGAATAGTAAGTCCGCATACAGCCCGTATTCTGCTGAACTACGGAAGAAGGGCTCCAAAGCCGGAGGAAACGTTGTAGACTCGGTCTCCTTTCGAGCTAGTGTCTGGCTTAAGGTAGGAATGATTTTCAAAACAGTCCTGTGTGTATAAGGCAAAGAGGAAGCAAAACTGAGTCCTGTGTGGTGACTCGGCATAGTTCAGCTCCCATGCTGACATTTGGGTGGATGCGATTCTTCACATTTCTGCTCCACAGATTGGGATTGCAAAAATCCAGATGAACACTAGAAGTCAGCCAAGGGGTGGTTGTCTATCTCTTTGCTGCCATCTAGAGGTTGCTTGAGTTGTCACAGTCCATATCTGATAGCCTAACTATCACACGGACTCTTGGTGGAGGAGGAACCTAGAGGAACCTAACTAATTTATTTGATTTATATCTGCAATGATGATACATCCTTTATTACATAAACCTCTCCTTTAAATTTATTTCATTTAATGATTTATTTTCTTGGTTTTACTCTTGAATTTTCCTTTGTAAAGCAAACTTATAAACATAAACAATCAATTTATTTTTAATTCCTATGAATCACTTTTAGATTTTCCCCCTTCTCAGGTTTTCATTTTTTTTTTCACCCAATAAAATATAAAACTCTGGTGAGCATTTATAGCAACTGACAAAATAGAGTATTAGAAATGAAGCATAGGAATTAATTCTGAATCGTTTCAGAAAAGCTCTTAAAAATCCTTTAACAGTTGAAAACGTGAGGAAAGAGCTGTGTCTATACAGATGTTGTAGATACTGAAAAAGTGGGAGACAAATGAATTTCTTGAGGAGACAGGAAAAGGGAAATCTTTGGCAGATTAATTGGCTGCCAACCTCAGAGGAATATCAAAGGAATAAAGCAGCTATTAATTTATTTACTAAATTTATATGCCAGCCATCTCACTGTCAAGCAACTCTATCAAGATCCGTTTTGATAAAATACATCTTTCTAAGATGGGAATCTCCAGAGTTGGCAATTTTAAGACTTCTGGAGAATTCCTCAGTCCACCATGCTAGCTGGAGAATTCTGGGAGTTGAAGTCCACAAGTTTGGAGACCTCTGTTCTAAGAGATAATGTTTCCCTATCTTGCCAAGTTAAAAAGTTCTACTTTCTTGTAGATTAACATTGCCTTAGGTTTAATTTATGCATTTGGTGAAGGATAGGACCCATCATGACCGGATTCAATTTTTTTTTACTAACAGTTCTGTTGCCATCACTTGATGGGTGTGACATGGCTTGTTGGGTGTGGCTTGGTGGGCGTGGCAGGGTAGGGATACTGTAAAATCTCCATTCCTTCCTGATCAGCTGGGACTTGGGAGGCAGAGAATAGATGGAGGCAGGGCCAGTTAGAGGTGATATTTACCGATTCTCCGAACTCCTCAAAATTTCCGCTACCAGTTCTCCAGTACTGGTCAGAACCTGCTGAATACCACCTCTGATCATGACCCTTAAAATGTAGTGCAGAAATCAAGCAAATACAATAAAAAGTATGGGAAAGGAATGCTTCAGGCAAAGTATTAATCCTGCAATGAGCTTCCTGCCTCCAGGCTGGTCCCTCCAATTCTCATTAAAAAGGTTACAAGCTGCATAGGTTGGAAAACTGTCTTTGTCTCAAGTGTTAACTGGCTTGTGCAGTTGCAGGGCAGATATATAAAAAAAAGTGGGCAATAGGAAAGATGCCCAGGGCACTTAAAATTTATAAAAGTTATTAAATGGTCCTTATATTTGCAATATTAGATATTCACTTGTTGGAAGAAATGTCCTTCTGGGTTCAGTTCTAAGTGGGGGAAAAGACCCTGGATTCATGGAAGTTGTTTGGAAAGAAGGTTTATTAATAGTGGACAAGATCACATGGTTTAACGTCCTGGGGGGGGGGGGGAGGAAGAGATGCTGAGTACTCTGGTTTTATCCCCTCTCCGGGTTTTTGAATTTGAGCTTTTATTCTGATTAGTTGTCAGACTCCCAAGCTTGGTTGAGTCTTTGCTGAGTGATGATGTAATGAAAGGGCTTTGGGATTTCCACTATGGCTCCGCCTGATGGAGGTAGATCTTTGTTATGTAGAATAGACTGACCCAGGCCTTAATGGCCCATTGACAAATGGGGGCGGGGGGGGGGAAATGAGTTCCTGCTTTTAGGGGAAATATTCTGTCCTTTTAATATTTCCTAAAATATTTCAATTTTTCTAGGAGACGGGTGGGTGCTGATTTCCTACATACTCCATTGGCAGTAATGAATCTGACCTGTGTTTTCTCAACCTCAGCAGCTTTAAGATGAGTTAGACTTCAACTCTCAGAATTCCCCAGCCAGAATTAAAGTCCACTCATCTTAAAGTTGCTGAGGTTGAGAAAACACTGTCTTGTACTGTGGCTACGCAGGTAGTTAGTTTATGGGTATGACTCATAAAGAGGCGTTTTCATTTCTTTTCGTAGTCCCACATCCTTTCTTTCTTTCTTTCTTTTTTTCCCTTCAGTCCAGGAATTGCTTAGTTTAGGCCTCAGCAAAGGAAGGTGAGAGATTAATGAGGATTAAATGTCTAGCTGGTAGCTAAAACAAACAAGGGAAACAATAACCTAACTGAGATTAGAGCTAGAAGCTTGTTATCTCACACCTTGCCAGGATAAATGGGAACAGCTAGCTTATTTAAGCAGCGATTCTCTCAGGTATTAATTGAAAAAAGCGGGTCAACCACAGGACATCCAATGTAAGAAGCTGTTGGAAGAAATGACCATCTGGGTTCAGTTCCAAGTGGGAAGAAACACACTGGAAACGTGGAGGCTGCTTGGAAAGATGGTTTAATGGTGGACAGGGTTTGAGGAGCCGAGGTGGCGCAGTGGTTAGAGTGCAGCACTGCAGGCTACTTCAGCTGACTGCAGTTCAGCAGTTCGGCTGTTCAAATCTCACTGGCTCAAGGTTGACTCAGCCTTCCATCCTTCCGAGGTGGGTGAAATGAGGACCCGGATTGTTGTTGGGGGCAATATGCTGACTCTGTAAACCGCTTAGAGAGGGCTGAAAGCCCTATGAAGCGGTATATAAGTCTAACTGCTATTGCTATTGCTATTGAGATCCTGGGCAAAAAAGAGATACTGAGACTGCCTGGGTTTTATGCCCTCTCTGGGCTTTTGAATAGGAGCTTGTATTCTCATTGGTTGTCAGACTCCCATGGGGCCATGCAGGGGTAACTTTGTAGATGTCTGTCTCCCAGGCTTGGTTGAGCCTTGCTGGATGATGATATAATGAAAGGGCTTTGGGCAATTCTTCCTATGGCTTTGCCTGAAGGAGGTAGATCTTTGTTATGTAGAATAGATTGACCCAGGCCTTAATGGCCCATTGGTAAAGGTGAGGTGGGGGAGGGCTGAGTTTCTGCCTCCCTTTTAGGGGAAATATTCTGTCCTTTTTAATATTTCCTAAAATATTTCATTTTTCTAGGAGAGGGGTGGGTGCTAACTTCCCACAAAGCAAACTACAACTTGATGGGTTTGGAGGTAAAGACATTCAGGCATTCTGCAGTTGCTTAGAGGCAATCTTAGCCCACAACATGTTCACTACCAAAAGTACATTGGAGTGAGTCTTAATTAAGTTCTTTTGGACATAAGAGCAGGAGTGGGAGTCTACCGGTTCGGGCGAACTGGTAGCTCCGACTTTCAGCTGTGCCCGCCCATCTGCCCCTGCGCTATACTCACCTATATTCCCTTTTCTGAAGCCCAGCTGATTGCCGCGCTGTAGAAGGTAAGTTTTCAAATGCATTGCATGTGCGGGCGGAGCGTTTGAAAGTATGCATTCAGCTAACCGGTTGCTGAACTGGTAAGGACCTCACCCCTGCATAATAGGGAATATGTGAAAGAATTTGGTTTTGCAGAAATACCAAGTGCCATTCCCTAAGAAGATTTGCTGTTAAGAGGGACAAAAAGACCCTTCAAAAATATTAGAAAACAACATATATATTCTTTAGTTTTGCTGCCAGTCAGTAGTCTGGATTTCTGCAAGCCAAATATGGTAGCTTTATGCAAAGGGACTGTATGGTAACAAATTTGGAGAAGTATTCGTCCTTTGAGATGGATCTCAAGAGGAGATCAGGGGATTCACATCCCTAACATGGTGACCCCAGTTGGGTTCACATCTTACACTAAACCAGTGATGGCTAACCTTTTTGTTGTTGGGTGCCAAAAATGTGAGGGTGCGTGCCGGCACCCATAATGCAAAGCACGCCCCCACATACACCCCACACTTCCCCCCCCCCCCACGCAGCGTACTGCTCGTCTCCAAGCTGAACTTGGTATTTCCTCCAGGGGGCTGCGGGAGGCCGTTTTTGCGTTCCCCACCAGGCTCCAGGAAAGCCTTCAAAGCCAGGGGAGAGTGAAAACGGCTTCCCCCGGCCCCCCAGAGGTCCTCTAGAAGCCAGAAATGGATCATTTCTGAATTTCCGGTAGTTGGTTCTGTTTTTTTAACCCTCCCCAGGGTCTGGAGGCTTTTCTGGAGCCTATGGAGGGTGAAAACAGCCTCCCGCAACCCCCCGGAAGCTGGAAACAGATAGTTTCCAAACTTCCGGTAGGCCCATTGGGCCCATTTACACACACACACCCCCCAGGATCCAGAGGCTTTCCTGAAGCCCGGAGAGGGTGAAAATGTCTTTTCTTGACCCACCTGGAAGGCCGAAAAATCAGCTGTCTGACACGCACATGCGTGCTGGAGCTGACAGTTCACCTGCCGGCAAATAGGGCTCTGCGTGCCAGAGGTTCACCATCACGGCACTAAGCCCTTACCTCACATTTTTCCAACCTCAGCAATGCTGAGATGGATGGACTTCAACTCACAGAATTCCCCAGCTGATGCTATACATGTTAAAGTTGCTGAGGTTGGGAAACATTGCTTTATGCGGTGTTTTTATTTCTCTCTGTATATGTATGTGTCAGCCTACCCAAGTACAAATCAGACAGGAAACACAACAAGATGAACTAATTCTACATTACTGAAAGGCTACATTAAGAGAATCTAAAAATCTAGAGGCAAAAACATCTCACTGCCACTTTAACTGCTTGACCTGTTAAGGTGGGTCCTTCCTTAAGTTTCTTTCTC